CCTAGTTCCTTCCCAAAGAATGACCTATCTAGGGTACATTCTGGATTCCACCTGTCTGAAGACCATGTTAACCCCAGAGAAGCTCGTCAAAGTTAGACGGGGGGATCAGGCTGTTACTGGAAGCCGCGACGTAGCCGTGAGGCAGGCTATGTCGGTGTTAGGACTGTTCACTTCGTCCATCCCGGCAGTACAGTGGGCAGGGTTGCATCTTCATCCCCTTCAACTTTTCATACTGAGAGTCTGGGACAGACAGGTGTGGTCCTTGGATACCCAAGTTCATATTCCCTCCAGAGTGAAGAGATCCCTGTGGTGGTGGAGGAAGACAGCCAATGTGACTCAGGGGCTGTTATGGAGTGTACCGGTGGTCAGGGAGATCACAACGGATGCCAGCGCCCAGGGTTGGGGGGCCCACCTAGGAGATTCGGTGGTACAGGGAGAGATGTCTCCAGTAGAAAAGGGGGAATCCTCAAACTGGAAAGAGCTAAGAGCGGTATTGGAAGCACTCCGCTCCTTCCAGAGCTTGACTGGGGACCAGCATGTCCGCGTCCTCTCGGACAATGCAACAGCGGTAACCTACGTAAACACAGGGAGGGACAAGGAGCAGGTCTCTCTCTGGACCCTGGCAGCAGTGCTTCTGTCTTGGGCAGAAAGAAATCTTGCCTCTTTATCAGCCGTCCACCTAAAAGGGGAATTGAATCGGGTGGCCCATTTTCTGAGCAGACGACAACAGAGTTGAAGTGGGTCCTAAATGGAGAGGTTTACCAGGCCATTGTAAAGAGGTGGGGATCCCCAGACATAGACCTCTTAACGTCAGGTCAGAACAACAAGGTCCCGAGATTTTTTTTTCCTAAACCGGTGGGATGGGGCGTGGGCAGTGGATGCGTTGGGACAGAGGTGGAATTTTCCTCTGTGCTACGCCTTCCCCCCCCCCCCCCATCGCCTTACTATCAGTGGTGTTGAGGAAGTTCAGGTTGGATAGAACTTCTCTCATCCTGATAGCTCCGTATTGGCCCCGGCGGGCATGGTTCGCACCATTGAGGCCTGAGCCACACGACCACCCTGGGAATTACCTCCACGGAAGGACTTACTGTCGCATGGCCCTGGTCCTATGTCCCAGGGTGGAGAGGCTGAAACTGACGGCTTGGTTTCTGAGCAACAACTCCTGTTAGTGAAGGGGCTCTCAGCCAGGCTGGTGGCTACGCTCCTGGCTAGCAGGAAAACAGAAACCTAAGCCATTTTCAGGAAGGTTTGGAGTCGCTTTAAAGAATGGTGCTGAAAGGCATCAGTGGATACCCATAGCCTAGTGTCGGGGCTAGAATTCCTGCAGGCAGGGGGTCGATAAAGGGCTTGCGATCAGCACACTCAAGAGCCAAATTTCGGCCCTTAGTGTGTTTCTGGAAACCCCTTTAGCTAAGGAGGGATTGGTAATCAGGTTCTTTAGCACTCTGACAAGACAGACCTCCTGGGAATAGGCCATTCCCAATGTGGGATTTGACAAAAGTACTCAAGGTATTGATGGAGCCACCATTTGAGCCACTGGGGTCCTGCTCCCTAAGTGCTCTCACGCTTAAAACGTTTTTTGTGGTGGCGGTCACCACAGCAAGGAGGGTATGTGAACTGGAAGCCCTGTCGGTCAGGGCGCCTTACTTGCAAATTTTTCTGGATAGAGTGGCGTTCACGACGGACCCATCCTTTGTTCCGAAGGTGGCCCAAAAATTTCAGAGGGAACAGGATGTAGTTTTGCCCTCCCCGGTAGGGGAAAGGCAAGAGAAATTTCATTTGTTAGACGTCAGAAGGTGTGTGCTCCTTTACCTAGAGAGGACTAAAGAATTTCGAAGCACAGAGTCATTTGTTTATTTCTTTTGCGGGGGGGGGGGGGGTGAGAAAAGGGAAGAAAGCCTCCAGGCGCACAGTGGCTAGATGGTTGAAGCTACCAACTGAACAGGCATTCCAAGCCGAGGGTCTAGAGGTCCCAGAGGGAATCAGGGCTCATTCCCCACGGGCCGTGGCGGCAACTCAAGCTGAACTGGCAGGATCCTCCCTGGAACAGATTTGTAGGGCAGCAACCTGGTCCAGTTATGGGACGTTTGTGAGGGATTACAGACTTGACCTGGTCTTGGTGCAGGAGCAGGCCTTCGGACGTAGGGTACCGCAAGCAGTGAGCCCGCCCCAAGGGGTAAGTACTCGATTATCCTCTCACAATGCTGTCCTGAAAGACGAGAGGGGAAACCAAAGTTCCACTTACAGTAACGCCTTTTCCAGCAGTCTCGGGTCAGCACCGGGTGCCCACCCTTGGTTCCAGAATTGTGTATGAGATGTCTTCTAGTATGTCCTGCTGTCTCATGTCTCCCCAGGTGACCGGAGGTACGATTCCAGGAACTGAGGTCGGAGGGGAGTGATTGGCTTTGTTTAGGGTGGAGGTGTTTCCTCAGGTGGGGAGGAGCCGAGGTCTCTCGAGGTGCTGCCCTGAAAGACTACTGGAAAAGGCGTTACCGTAAGTGGAACTTTGATTTTTGTTTTTTCATCCTGTCACCAGTGCAGTGCAGCGTCATCATGTAACTGGCATGGCGGTGATCAGGGACACTGACTGGTGATGGCACGAAAAAAAAAGTGATTAATTTTTATTTTAATTTTTAAAAAAAAAAATTATTAGTTTTAATTTTTTATTACTTTTTTTTTTCTTTTTTTAAGATTTTTTCTTCATATTTCCCTATGACCAAAGTAGTATAAACATGACCATAGTAACAATGTACGACTTTGGGGAAGTCAGCAGTATTTTATTTTTATTTTTACACACAAGAATTTCTTTGCTATAAGCAAGCATTTACCTGAATGACATCAATCCATTCAGGGTTTTTTTGTGCTTAGTTGTGATTTGGCCGTGGCTAGTCACATGACACAGATGGGCTGTGATTGGCCCAGCTTGTGCATGTGATCTCTGTGACCAATCACAGCTCGACACACTTGTATACAATGGATGGTATGAAAGGAAGCCATCCATTGTATACAACCGTCATGTGACCTCCTGTGATTGGTCACATGGTACCGGCAACGGGGCCCGGTACTCAGATCTGTCATCGGCCGTGTCCGAGGTACATGGCTGGTGACAGATCGCATTGCAGAACGGCCCTGCAGGGAGGAAAACTGTGCATGCCCGAAAGGAAGCCATATGGAGTCCAACCGGAGGGACGAACTGACCGCCATCTGGCTATAGGACGGGTGGCAACTGGTTAAAAATCAGTTGGATGAATGTATTTAGTCTAACCCTCCCATTTCTGAGGATTCCCCCCCTTCCCCATTTCTGAGGATTCCCCCCTTCCCCTTTCAGAGGATTTCCCCTCCCTCCCCTTTCTCAGGATTCCTTCCCCCCTTCCAGTCCGGACACTTCCCCCCCCTCCCCCAGGCCAATTTTCAGCTTTCAGCGCTATCACACTTTGAATGACAATTGCACGCGGTCATGCAACACTGTACCCAGATGAATTTTTTAGCATTGTTTTGAGACAGATAAAGCTTTATTTTGGTGGTTTTTATTCAAGGCTGTAAGAGGAATCATCTCTCCTTCTCTCTGTCTGCATTCCTGCAGCCATTGAACTACTGTCAGGAATGGACTTGCCAGTAATGGTGGGACTCACCTGCCTTGTGGGCTGCAGTACCAGGGCTGGCCAGCGGGTGCTCCCGGCAATCAGAGACTCAACCCTGCAGCCAGCCAAACACCTGAAGTTGATTATGCAGGTGTATTTAAGGGATGGCCAGACCTGCAGTCTCTGCCTGGTGTGTGTTTTTCCTGGGCCCCTGTATCCTGTTCCTGCATTTCTGTTCCTGTTCCTGTTTCTGTCTGATTCGTTGCTGACCCTGCCTGATCCGGACCTCTGCTGACTTCTCCTGTTTCATCCCTGGCTTGTGACCCCGACCATTCTCTGCCTGACCCCCTGTACCTACCTGCCCGATTGTTATTGACCCGGCCTGCCTGACGACACTTGCATTGTATATACTGTTATCTGTGGGTGGTTGGTTTTGGTTTGGGTTGCACTGTGTTATGTTTAGTATTGCACTGCGTTTATGTTTGTATTGTTAGTGTTAATAAATTATATTGTTTATAACATATCTGAAGTCTGCGTTTCCCCTGCGTCAGTCACACACCTCTGGTCATACTCGGAGCCCTGACATTACACCAAGGCCAATCCTGACCAGAAGTGGCTGCACAGGGAAGCCATCTTGGCTTGTTGCTGGGAAGGATGGATCTGGATGAGGTTGTGTATTTATATCTGCTAGTGTTTGATGACAGGGAGTATGCTTATCAGACTCTGAAGGAGTATCCCCGGGATGAACTGCTAGAATGTATACGGCTCGCTCATGTTCTAGTTAGATCAGGGCACCAGAGTTCTCTGAGGTGCAGCCATTGATGAGGTTTGTGCTGAGTTGGTTTCATCTGGTTCCCCCGAATGCAGGGATGAATTTTTGCCACCCATTTAGTGCAGACCAGGTAGAGTCCCTGGTGTGGTTATTAGAGGATGATGGGGGTTACTTTCTGGAGCGTTATTCCACATGTTCACCACAGATACTAAGAGATTGTATAAACGCAGTGCAGTCTATTGAACCAGACAGGCTTTGTGTAAGCTCAGCTTTGTTCAACCCATACTGCAGACATGGACAGACTTGTTGCACCCAGCCTCAGTCAGCTTACAAAGACCCCGTCCTGCTTCTAATCTATTTCCTCAAAGCTCTACTCCTGTATTTCCCAACAGCACCTCCAGTTACAGCCCAGTATACCCTGCTATCTACCGCATGTCAGTACCCTGTTCCCACTCGCTGCACCTATCCTGCCTTTAACCCTGTAAAGAAGTCCTCTGTAAGCTAGCAACTGCTCCCTCCCTGTTTCCATCCCCAGCTCTTCTCTGTCTCCAGCTGCTCCATTCGTTTGCAGACCTGCGTTTACTTGCAGTGCTCCAGTAACTAAAAACCAGGAAAAGGCGAAAGTTCTTTCCCAACCAATACCATCCTGCCAGTATCCAAACCGGTCAGCCTCCCATCTGAGAACCCGCCTTCCATGGTGCAGCCTGGTGTCTCGGCGCCCACAATTCAGCCTGATGCCTTACCCAGCCTGATGCCTCCATTCAGCCTGATGCCTCCCATTCAGCCTGATGCCTCCACCCAGCATGATGTTCTTACCCAGCCTGATGATTCCATTAGGCCAGTTGACTCGATGCCCGCTGTCGATCCCAGACGATCCAGTACCTGATGACCCAGTACCCGCTGTCATGCCTGGTGACCCGATGCCCGCTGTCGAGCCAGAGGATCCAATGCCTGATGACCCAGTGCCCGCTGTCATGCCTGGTGACCTGATGCCCGCTGTCGGGCCAGACGATCCAATTGTCTGACCCAGTGCCCGCAGCCATGCCAGTTGACTTGGAGCCCCACTGTCGTGCCTGGTGACTCGGTGCCCACTGCCTTTGCCAGATGACGCGGTACACCCGCTGGCGAGCCAAATGACCTGATGCCTGGTGACCCAGTGCCCGCTGTCATGCCTGGTGACCCGATGCCCGCTGTCGAGCCAGACGATCCAACGCCAGATGACCCCGGTGCCGCCTGTCGATCCAGACGATCTGGTACCTGATGAACCCGGTTGCCGCTGTCGTGCCAATTGACTCAGAGCCCACTGTCGTGCCTGGTGACTCGGTGGCCCACTGCCTTGCCCAGATGACGCGGTGCCCGCTGGCGAGCCAAATGACCTGATGCCTGGTGACCCGATGCCCCTAGTTGTCGTGCCTGATGACCCGGTGCCCGCCGCTCTGCCTGAGGCCCGATGCCTGTCACTCTCCGAGCCTGGGGGCCGATGCCCGTCGCCCCACGCCTGATGGCCGAAATGCCTGTCGCCCCGCCTGGGGGTCTATGTCGCCCGCCGCTCCGCCTGGGGGCCCGGCGCCTGTCACTCCGCCTGGGGGCCCGATGCCTGTCGCTCCGCCTGGGGGCCCGATGCTGTCGCTCCGCCTGGGGGCCCCGATGCCTGTCGCTCCGCCCCGGCCCGGCGCCCCCCCCGCGCTCCACCTGGGGGCCCGGCGCCCCCGCCCGCCCACGCTGGGGGCCCGATGCCCGTCACCCCCTCCTGGGGGCCCGATGCCCGTCGCCCCTCCTGGGGGCCCGGTGCCCGCCGCTTATCCGCCTGGGGGCCCCGGTGCCTGCTGCTCCGCCTGGTGATCCCGGTGTCCAGCCCGGTGTGCCGCTGCCCGGAGTCCAGCCCGGTGTGCCTCTGCCCGGAGTCCAGCCCGGTGTGGCCTCTGCCCGGAGTCCATCCGGTGTGCCTCTGCCCGGAGTCCAGCCCGGTGTGCCTCTGCCCGGAGTCCTGCCCGGTGTGCCGCTGCCCGGAGTCCTGCCCGATGTGCCAGTCTTTGATATCCCGCCAGTTACCAGACCCCGGGCGGTGGAACATTTTGCCCAGCTAGGACTGTTTGGAGCATCCTGAGGCCGCTCCTTGAGGGGGGGGTACTGTCCAGGAATGGACTTGCCAGTAATGGTGGGACTCACCTGCCTTGTGGGCTGCAATACAGGGCTGGCCAGCGGGTGCTCCCAGCAATCAGAGACTCAACCTGCAGCCAGCCAAACACCTGAAGCTGATTATGCAAGGTGGCCCAGACCTGCAGTTTTTAAGGGGTAAGGGTGGCCAGACCTGCAGTCTCTGCCTTGGTGTGTGTTTTTCCTGGGCCCTGTATCCTGTTCCTGCATTCCTGTTCCTGTCCCTGTCTGACTGACTCGTTGCTGACCCTGCCTGATCTAGGACCTCTGCTGACTTCTCCTGTTTTCATCCCTGGCTTGTGACCCCGACCATTCTCTGCCTGACCCCTGTACCTACCTGCCCGATTGTTATTGACCCTGGCCCTGCCTGACGACGCTTGCATTGTATGTACTGTTATCTGTGGGTGGTTGGTTTGGTTCGTTTGCACTGTATTATGTTTAGTATTGCACTGCGTTTATGTTTGTATTGTTAGTGTTAATAAATTATATTGTTATAGGGACTTATCTGAAGTCTGCGTTTTCCCTGCGTCAGCCACACACCTCTGGTCATACCCCGGAGCCCTGACAACTACTGTGAGAGTTGTGATTGGTCACAGCTTGTCACATGGTACAATGCTGTTGTGAATGGACCTGTACCATGTGATCTCTGTGTTATCATTCACAGATTTCACACGTAGTAAGCAATGAATGTCAGAAGTGACAGTTTACTACTATTCATGTGATCACTGCTTGGCCAATCAGTGATCACATGATTGGGGACCTCACACAGCAGTTTCCGTACAGCGATTGGTGTTGTGCTATGTCTGGAGGATGATTTCGGTGCTGCGTGCTCCCAAGGAGTCCACACAGGCAGGGGATGTGGGAGGACATTTATAGAGGTCCACCCGCTCCTGCCCTGCTCCCGGTACGTACACGGTCCGGGCGGGAAGTGGTGAATATCCCGGTCATTTCCAATCTCACGGGGAAGATTTTATCCCAATAGATTCTAATATAGCAGGAGAGAGATTAATCCTGGTCTCCATGGCTGTGATCCTGCAAGGTCTGGTCCTCATGGCTGTGATGGCTGTGATCTGCTGACTGGCCTCTCCCTGTGTTAACCTGACCCTTGCCCTGACCCTTGCCCTGACCCTTGGCCTGACCCTCGCACTGACCCTTGGCCTGACCCTTGCCTGACCCTTGCCCTGACCCTTGCCCTGACCCTCGGCCTGACCCTCGGCCCTGACCCTCGGCCCTGACCCTCGCACCTGACCCTCGCCCTGACCCCTCGCCCTGTTCCTCGCCCTGACCCTTGCCCTGACCCTCGGCCTGACCCTCGGCCTGACCCTTGCCCTGACCCTTGGCCTGACCCTTGCCCTGACCCTTGCCCTGACCCTTGGACCCTCGCCCTGACCCTCGCCCTGACCCTCGCCCTGACCCTCGCACTGACCCTCGCCCTGACCCTCGCCCTGACCCTCGCCCTGACCCTTGCCCTGACCCTCGGCCTGACCCTCGGCCTGATCCTTGCCCTGACCCTCGCCCTGACCCTCGCCCTGACCCTCGCCCTGACCTCAGACAAAGCAGTGAGGGATTTCAGCCTCCCTTCTCCTCTCAGACTGTAAGAGAGAGAGAGCCAATTATAAGAGCCATTAAAGGAGCCAATGACAAGGACTCTGTCAAACAGGAAGTGCAGGTGCAAAGCATTGTGGACGATGGAGTCTTGAACAGAAACGGCCTTATAGGCTGATATGGAGATAGAGCTACAAAAGAACTACAAAAGCCATCATGCTTAGGGGGAGCAGAGTGAAGGGATCCATCTTGGGGTCAGTTCTCCTGAGGAGGGGGAGATTGCATGTGGCAGGAGAGAGAGATTGGACCTGGCAGAGAAGTGCTGATGGGCAGTGCACTGCATGCTTGGTGATCTGCATCAGACAAAGGAACATCCAAACTGAGAGATGTGGTCCTACAGTACAGTGCCTACCCTGACAGGGTGAAGGGCTCATGGTGAGGTGACCACAGGAGCCGGTCATTTCCAGGACCATGGTTTGGGCCTTAGTCCCAGGATCTGGTGAGAGGGATTTCTCCCCCTGTCAGATGACAGGAACACGGCACACATACTGCCACGGGATTACAATGATACGTTACCATAGGAGTGTAAGTGCACCAATGAAAGTGTCTCGCTGAAGACCCCAACATTCATCCTGTTACCAAGAGACTGAAGTCACTGGTGCCATACGGGCACGCGCATGCGTATTCAGGCCTCTATATTGCATGGTGTGGGAGGGAATAGCTCTACCTTGGAAAGTAGCTATGAAGCATCAGTTGGGCGCAGTGTTGGCCTATTGGGCTTGTGGTGTCGGGGGTTAGAAGGGAGAAGTCTGACACCACAGAGAGTCATCCTTCTGCTCTCCTCCTGCTTGGACATCATAGAGCTGAGTTTATGTAAAGGGGTTTGGACCCACTTTGAGGGCGCCATGTAAGTGTTTCCTCTGCTTTTGGGGTTATTCATGGTTGGAATCCCCTGAAAGCAGCCTGAGTGTAAAAGTGAGTTATATTGCTTCCGGTCTCAGGATTTGCTGTTCTCTGGATTCACCGAACGTATACCTGTTGTTCATGTTTATTACTTCCCATAGAGGTCTTACAGTAAAGCTGATCTCGGTGTTTATTATACCGTGTGTGCTTTTCATTGGTCCTTGTACTTCACTATTGTCAGGGGTGTCAGTTGGGGCTGAGACAGTTCTTGGGGGGAGGCAGGTGAGGCAGAGTGGTGGCAGCCCCTCGGGGGGATCGCTACACTAATATTCTCCATGTCCATAATATATGTAATAGAGCTCCAAGCTGGCCGCAGGTTCTCGGGTATGGAGGACTATGTCATCCTGAGAATTCGGCCATTTGGGGAGGAGTTCGGTTCCATCTTGTGGACATTTTGTGGGTTCGCTCCCAAAGGTGAACACATCTCGTAGCTGAACACCCCCCCAAAATGTACACCCCACTGCTCAGTACAGATCGAATAGAATCGGGCGACGCCGCCGGATGTAGGAGGTTATAGAATCGGGTCGACGCCGCCGGATGTAGGAGGTTATAGAATCGGGCGACGCCGCCGGATGTAGGAGGTTATAGAATCGGGCGACGCCGCCGGATGTAGGAGGTTATAGAATCGGGCGACGCCGCCGATGTAGGAGGTTATAGAATCGGGCGACGCCGCCGGATGTAGGAGGTTATAGAATCGGGCGACGCCGCCGGATGTAGGAGGTTATAGAATCGGGTCACGCCGCCGGATGTAGGAGGTTATAGAATCGGGTGACGCCGCCGGATGTAGGAGGTTATAGAATCGGGCGACGCCGCCGGATGTAGGAGGTTATAGAATCGGGTGACGCCGCCGGATGTAGGAGGTTATAGAATCGGGCGACGCCGCCGGATGTAGGAGGTTATAGAATCGGGTAGGAGGTTATAGAATCGACGCCGCCGGATGTAGGAGGTTATAGAATCGGGCGACGCCGCCGGATGAATAGGAGGTTATAGAATCGGGCGACGGGTCCGCCCGATGTAGGAGGTTATAGAATCGGGCGACGCCGCGGATGTAGGAGGTTATAGAATCGGGCGACGCCGCCGGATGTAGGAGGTTATAGAATCGGGCGACGCCAGCCGGATGTAGGAGGTTATAGAATCGGGCGACGCCGCCGGATGTAGGAGGTTATAGAATCGGGCGACGCCGCCGGATAGTAGGAGGTTATAGAATCGGGCGACGCCGCCGCCGGATGTAGGAGGTTATAGAATCGGGCGACGCCGCCGGATGTAGGAGGTTATAGAATCGGGCGACGCCGCCGGATGTAGGAGGTTATAGAATCGGGCGACGCCGCCGGATGTAGGGTTATAGAATCGGGCTCGGGCGACGCCGCCGATGTAGGAGGAGGTTATAGAATCGGGCGACGCCGCCGGATGTAGGAGGTTATAGAATCGGGCGACGCCGCCGGATGTAGGAGGTTATAGAATCGGGCGACGCCGCCGGATGTAGGAGGTTATAGAATCGGGCGAATAGAATCGGGCGACGCCGCCGGATGTAGGAGGTTATAGAATCGGGTGACGCCGCCGGATGTAGGAGGTTATAGAATCGGGCCGACGCCGCCGGAATGTAGGAGGTTATAGAATCGGGTGACGCCGCCGGAATGTAGGAGGTTATAGAATCGGGCGACGCCGCCGGATGTAGGAGGTTATAGAATCGGGGAGGTTATAAATTGGGGTCACACTGCCGCCGATGTAGGAGGTTATAGAATCGGGCGCCGCCGCCGGATGTAGGAGGTTATAGAATCGGGCGACGCCGCCGGATGTAGGAGGTTATAGAATCGGGCGACGCCGCCGGATGTAGGAGGTTATAGAATCGGGCGACGCCGCCGGATGTAGGAGGTTATAGAATCGGGTCACGCCGCCGGATGTAGGAGGTTATAGAATCGGGCGCGCCGCCGGATGTAGGAGGTTATAGAATCGGGAGACGCCGCCGGATGTAGGAGGTTATAGAATCGGGTGACGCCGCCGGATGTAGGAGGTTATAAAATGGGGTCACGCCGCCGGATGTAGGAGGTTATAGAATCGGGTGACGCCGCCGGATGTAGGAGGTTATAGAATCGGGTCACGCCGCCGGATGTAGGAGGTTATAGAATCGGGGTCACGCCGCCGGATGTAGGAGGTTATAGAATCGGGTGCCGCCGGATATAGGAGGATATAGAATCGGGCGACGCCGCCTGATGTCCAGACACTCCCCCCCCCCCCCCTCCAGTCCAGACACTTTCTCCCCTTCCTCCAGGCACCCCCCCTTCCCGTCCAGGCACTGGACCCCCCCTGGAGGGAGGGGGAGAAAGTGTCTGGACTGGGGGGGGGGAGAGGGGGAGAAAGTGTCTGGACTGGAAGGTGGAGGGGGGGAAAGTGTCTGGACTGGAAGGTGGGGGGAAAAAAAGTGTCTGGACTTGAAGGGGTTAAACCCCCCCCCGATCCTACCCCCGCCATTGTGAATATAAACACAGACACATCCAATCCATGATGGACTTTTAGTGACACGTATTCTTCTGACATCAAGACTTACCGTTACTAGACACCAGGAAATAGACTCCGCCCCTTCTCTAACTGACGTCATCAGGCGAGTCCGAACCCTCTTCATCTATGAGGAATCTTTAGCTGACCTGAACCATAGAAGGACCAAATCTGACAAAGCTTGGACTCCCCGGCCCGACGGGTTCAGAACCGGAACCGAGGGTATTATTATGTTTCACCTTTTTGTTTTGGATCCTCTGAAATGATTATTTCTCAGAACTAGTCGGATTGCGAGGAATTATCCAATATTTCCTTTTCTCTCTTTGTTAGACTTCACCGCCGCACCTATTCTGTGATATTGCGCAGCTTCTCGCTGTCTGATTTTTGTTTTTTTTGTTGTAACTATATTTGTAAAACCGAATAACAATGTTTTATGGAAAAAAAAAAAAGAAATGTGATAAACTAAATTGCGATCCATCCTGTAGTCTGTAGACGCGGGGAACGGTCACACCAACCAATCATTACGCAGCTATTGGGATTTTATTTCACCGAAGACACGGAGCGGAATACGATTCGCTCTCAATCTTCTGTTTGTGTCTTCTATATATAAATCTGACATTTCCCCACATATTACAGACATTACGGGACGAATCGTGACTTCTACACAAACGCTGAGATGTTCCCAAAGTGAATGTATTATAATTCGATCTCCATCATCGCTCATACTGAAGAATACTACAGATGTATCCATCGTCTTCTGTGTCTTCTATATCACTTGTGACCTCTGTAGGACCATCCTGACCACAGGAAGCCTTGTGTGTCCCCATAAAATGATGCTGGACACAAGATATCAGTCCATACATGAGGGACACACGCCATTTATGGCCTCACGTAGTGGTTTGGTCGTATGTATCCCGTGGAGGTGGACGCACACACCCATTGGTTTGCAGTATATAGAAGAACGGGGGTTAAAGAAGGTCTATGGAATGAAAGCATCTGAGAAGATACTCAGCAATTCTGGACAATTCCTATCATCAGATGGACCTCATGTACAACGTTTATGTCACGTGTTGGAGTTGGTTTAGAAGGTTACAAATCTAGGTGAAGCTCGGCATTGGATTGCGATTTATAGCCTAAAAGTGGGTTTTTTCCCTCATTTACACAGAGCGCAGATACATCGGGGTCTCAGGAGGAAGAGCTCTGCCAATGTTTTTATAAACACCCCCCTTTCTCATCTAAAACTTCGGTCACAACAAGTTAAAATAGATGTTTTTCCATTTTTGTCTGTGTTTTTCTTATATATAGAAGAAAAAACCCAGAACTTTGACCTCTGTAGGACAATCCTGACCACAGGAAGCCTTGTGTGTCCCCATAAAATGATGGAGGTGTTCCATCGGTGTCACAAAGTTCTTGTGGAATGTGATGAGGAAACAACAACCTCTGATGACGGGGAAGGTTCTGGAAGTTTATTGAGAAGAGAAGAGTTACAAAGTAAAAGTCAAGATTAGAAAGTAGAGAGATGAAGGTGTGCGGAGATCCTTAGACATGGCAGGTGGACCAAGGATCTGACCTCTTCATCCAACCCGAGGCTTTTCCCCTCCAATCCTGGACAGTTGTCATGGAGGAGCGTCCCAAACATCCACATTTTACAGATGAAATCATTCAGTGAAGAATTTGTACAGCAGCTCATCATTCATCACAAGAGACATTCATTTGTGTTCTCTCTGAACACCTGATCAGCTTGTCCCACCTCCAGACTCCCAAATCCCTCATTGTAGAAGAAGGAGACCAACTGTCTCTATGTTCCACAACAAGACCTTCCAAGGATCCGGAGATCAGCAATTTGTTCTAATAACATCTTTCTGTAAAGTCATTCTAGACAGAGAAGCTGTTATTATAGACAGAACCCAACATTAGCATATAAGCACTTAGTCCTGTCATTCCATCATTAGTAATCACATCAGAATGATTTCTCTTTATCAGCTGAATGGGGCCATAGAGGAAACATCGCTCGGCTCCATGTGGATCATAGAGGGGCCGGGACTGGAGGGGCTAATGGTGATTGTAGTCCTCCTCCAATCCAATCCATCATTGTATCTATATCCAATCATTGATCAATATTCCCATATACAGAGCCGAGGATCTCCACTTCCTGAGACTGTATACCCCCCCATCACCTGTCCACAGTACCCCACCCCCAACACGACCAGAATCATCGCTTATCAATCCCCGCCCCCTCTATGTCATAACCAATAGGAAAAAGACTAGCACTGGCTGTATTCATAGTGACACTCATCACAGCCAATCACAGTGAGGGGGAGGGGCAATCACAGACCCATGGATTGGTCATGTAAAGGAACCCATGAGGACAGAAATGTAGGAAATTCTCATTGTGGACAGTAAAGTGTGTCTAGACAGAACCTATTGTTCTAGTATTGGGTGAAGGGGGAACAAGCATGCAGCCAGTGAAGCCTGAAGAATCTGCCCACCTGCATGCTTGTTCCTGGTGGGTGACACACTAGGGAGTGAAGTGAGGTGACGGATGAAGATGACGGCCCTGGAATTCTATAAATGAATCAGTAATCTCGTTTCTTGTCCGCTGCTTCCTATTGGCTAAGTATTGCACCAATCAGATTCTCCGCCCTGTGATGTCCCCAGTCTCTGGGCAGATTTCTCACTTCGGAGTCCCCCCAGATATTGTTATCTGACCTTCCTCTATATATACCCCGCATGGAGGGGCTCGGTGAAGGTGGTGGTGAAGGTGTGGAGGTGTCGGATCGGGTCACACAGATCATAGAAGGAGATCCGCCCGGCCTCATAATCCAGATCTATCCTGACTCTGGTACTGGCGCCATCACTGGAAAATGGGATCTCATGACTGTCATGTATGACCCAATACTGGTCATCCCACCCCCACCCCTTCAAACACCAGGACTTCTTATTATATCCAAACCTTGACTGACCTCCTCTCCGGTCTATACTGGGGTAACACACCCCGACTATCCAGCACCCTGACCCCCCGACATCCACTTCCCAGTAATGTCTCCCCGAGGAGAACCCCTGAGTGCTCATCACCTGAGGCTCATCCAGAAATCTCTTTAGAGTTTTTGGATAATTTGGGCTCTTTTCTGACCAGGATACAGTTTTCCCGTCACCTGATATATGTAGATGATGACCAGCTGTCCTCACATCCAGTGATACGTCTGTAACCCCCGACACCCCCCATGTTTGCTGTACAGCCCCAATATTTGGTCCCCCAGCCTGGCGGTGTGAGTGTTGTATGGTGGGGGAGGGTTGGGGGTCTGCCCTGGATGGTGGACCATTGATGGGACCTTTGCCCTTTGTAGTAGAATGTGGAGAGACATGTGTGCCTGTACATTTCTGTACATTGACCCCAGACATGATATCAGATAGACCCGTGTGTAATATGTGTGAGATCCCCCCCAAATCCCCATCCCCTCCATCATGGAGGAGGTTCTCATGTCTCTCTCTGTCCTCATCATCTCCATCCTCAGTATCACACAAGTCACCTGTATCTGATTCCTGTAGGACAATCAGTGGATCCGTCATGTTACACAACTCCTCAATGTAAAATACTTTGCTGTACAGCTCATCGATCTTTATTTCCAGATCCCGGATCATATCAGACAGTGATAAAAAGACCCACTCAGCATGCCCGGAGATTTCACTCAGGACTCTCTTCTCCAGGTCTTCCAGACGTCTCCTGAGGTCTCTGAACAGGCAGTGACTCTCTTGGTTTCATCATCTGCTTTTCCTTGTACTTTCCTCCTGCGTTCCTGCAGACTCTGGACTCTTTTCTCTGTCTCCTCTCTCTCTGTCATCAGTTTCTGCAGAACATTCCTCAGTTTCTTCTTCTTCTTCTCAGAGGCTCCTCCATGGTTTCTACCCTGGTGTCCCCGATGTTCTCCATCCACCCTGCAGGACATACAGATACAGGTGGGAGTCCTCGGTGCAGTAATACTCCAGGATCTTCTTATGGAAGGAGCATTTCCTGTCCTTCAGGGAAGTGGTGGGGTCACATAGGACGTGTTCTGGTGACTTGCTGTGGACTCTCAGGTGGTTGTCACACAGAGAAGCTTCACACATCAGACAGGATTTCACAGCCGGTACAGGAGTTTGAATACAGTAAGTACAGAAGACCCCGGACTCCTCCTGAGCACCCTGTGTGGTCTGGAGGGTCTCTGAAATCTTACACAGAGTAATGTTCTTCTGAAGGACGGGGCGTCTCCTGAATGTTACTCTGCATTCAGGACAGGAATAACCTCCAGTCTCCTCCTGTGTATCCAACACACGACCAATACAGTCCCGGCAGAAGTTGTGTCCACATGTCAGGGTTACGGGATCCGTATAAATGTTCAGACAGACGGAACATTCCAGATTCTCTTTCAGACGAGAAGTTGCCATCGCTGAGAGCAGAAGAATAAAGTGAGAAGATTGAACTCTGTAAGAATTATTTATTAGGATAGTAACAATGTACAAAGTTCAGTCATTGATATAGTCATGCAGTTACATTTGGACTTACTGCGTTGTGATTGGTTGATGGGTTTATTGCACGTTGCATATCCTCCTTGCCCTTTGGACCTCCTTATGTAATAAGAAGAGAGAAGAGAGGCGTGTTCCATGTTCATCTCCACAGAGACGGTGCACCAGATAATCATCACTTTGAACTGTCTGTGTTACCCCCGAGACCCCAATAATATGAACTGTCTGTGTTACCCCCGAGACCCCAATAATATGAACTGTCTGTGTTACCCCCGAGACCCCAATAATATGAACTGTCTGTGTTACCCCCGAGACCCCAATAAATATGAACTGTCTGTGTTACCCCCGAGACCCCAATAATATGAACTGTCTGTGTTACCCCCGAGACCCCAATAATATGAACTGTCTGTGTTACCCCCGAGACCCCAATAATATGAACTGTCTGTGTTACCCCCGAGACCCCAATCACATAACATGAACTGTCTGTGTTACCCCCGAGACCCCAATCACATAATATGAACTGTCTGTGTTACCCCCGAGACCCCACGTCTAATTCACATAACAGTAGAAGGGACTGTCTGTGTTGGTTGGTAGAACCCAGACAATCACGTATAATATTACTGTCTAACTCATTTTACCAGCCAAACCATCCAGAAATAACGTACCTGAACAAGTGACTCAGGATGAACATCAGTTAGCGTGTACATGGACCCCACCAATCCTCATTGACCCCAAATAAATAAAGGAACCGCCCACCACATGTCAGGGGTTACCTTATTGGCCTAACATACCAATGACCTCTGAACTCTGCATTAATGTCTACTGTTACCTCTGAACCTGCATTACATACCACTGACCTCTGAACTCTGCATTACATACTACTGACCTATGAACTCTGCATTACATACTACTGACCTCTGAACTCCTGTATTACATAATACTGACCTCTGAACTCTGTATTACTACTACTGACCTCTGAATTACATACCTGACCTCTGAACTCTGTATCTACTGACCTCTAAACTCTGTATTACATACTACTGACCTACCCCTGTATTACATACTACTGACCATGAACTCTGCATTACATAACCTCTGAACTCTGCATTACATATTGCTGACCTCTGAACTCTGTATTACATACCACTGACCTCTGAACCTGCATCACATAACATGAACTGTCTGAACTCTGTATTACATACTACTGACCTCTGAACTCTGCATTACATATTACTGACATCTGAACTCTGTATTACCCTGACCTCTGAACTCTGTATTACATACTGACATGAACTCTGTATTACTGTGTACTGACCTCTGAACTCCCATCTACTGACCTCTGAACATGAACTACTCTGACCTCTGAACTCTGAACCCCAATACATACTACTGACCTCTGAACTCTGTGTTACATACTACTGACCTCTGAACTCTGCATTACATACTACAGAACCTCTGAACTCTGTATTACATGACCTATGAACTCTGCATTACATACTACTGACCTCTGAACTCTGTATTACATAATACTGACCTCTGAACTCTGTATTACATACTACTGACCTATGAACTCTGAATTACATACTACTGACCTCTGAACTCTGTATTACAGGGAACTGACCTCTGAACTCTGTAACATACTATGACCTATTGGTAACTCTGCATTACATACTGCTGACCTCTGAACACTGCATTACATATTGCTGACCTCTGAACTCTGTATACATACCACCCCTCTGAACTCTGCATTACATACCACTGACCTCTGAACTCTGTATTACATACTACTGACATACTCTGAACTGCATTACATATTACTGACCTCTGAACTCTGTATTACATACCACTGACCTCTGAACTCTGTATTACATACCACTGATCTCTGAACTCTGTATTTACATATTACTGACCTCTGAACTCTGTATTACATATATACTGACCTCTGAACTCTGTATTACATATTACTGACCTCTGAACTCTGCCCACATACTACTGACCTCTGAACTCTGCATTACATACTGCTGACCTCTGAACTCTGTATTACATACTACTGACCTCTGAACTCTGAATTACATACTACTGACCTCTGAACTCTGAATTACATACATACTACTGACCTCTGAACTCTGCATTACATACTACTGACCTCTGAACTCTGTATTACATATTACTGACCTCTGAACTCTGTATTACATACTACTGACCTCTGAACTCTGTATTACATATTACTGACCTCTGAACTCTGTATTACATACTACTGACCTCTGAACATACTCTGAATTGCATTACATACTACTGACCTCTGAACTCTGTATTACATACTACTGACCTCTGAACTCTGCATTACATACTGCTGACCTCTGAACTCTGCATTACATACTACTGACCTCTGAACTCTGTATTACATACCACTGACCTCTGAACTCTGTATTACATACTACTGACCTCTGAACTCTGTATTACATACTACTGACCTCTGAACTCTGATTACATACTGCTGACCTCTGAACTCTGCATTACATACCACTGACCTCTGAACTCTGTATTACATATTACTGACCTCTGAACTCTGCATTACATACTACTGACCTCTGAACTCTGTATTACATACTACTGACCTCTGAACTCTGCATTGTATACTGCTGACCTTTGAACTCTGTATTACATACCACTGACCTCTGACTGATTACATACCTCTGAACTCTGCATTACATACCACTGACCTCTGAACTCTGAAATACATACCACTGACCTCTGAACTCTGCATTACATACCACTGACCTCTGATGTCTGCATTACATACCACTGACCTCTGAACTCTGATCCTACCACTGACCTCTGAACTCTGCATTACATATCACTGACCTCTGAACTCTGTATTACATACCACTGACCTCTGAACTCTGCATTACATATTACTGACCTCTGAACTCTGTATTACATACCACTGACCTCTGAACTCTGTATTACATATTACTGACCTCTGAACTCTGTATTACATATACTGACCTCTGAACTCTGTATTACATATACTGACCTCTGAACTCTGCATTACATACTACTGACCTCTGAACTCTGCATTACATACTACTGACCTCTGAACTCTGTATTACATACTACTGACCTCTGAACTCTGAATTACATACTACTGACCTCTGAACTCTGAATTACATACTCTGACCTCTGAACTCTGCATTACATACTACTGACCTCTGAACTCTGTATTACATATTACTGACCTCTGAACTCTGTATTACATACTACTGACCTCTGAACTCTGTATTACATATTACTGACCTCTGAACTCTGTATTACTACTACTGACCTCTGAATTGTATTACATACTACTGACCTCTGAACTCTGCATTACATACTACTGACCTCTGAACTCTGTATTACATACTACTGACCTCTGAACTCTGCATTACATACTGCTGACCTCTGAACTCTGCATTACATACTACTGACCTCTGAACTCTGTATTACATACCACTGACCTCTGAACTCTGCATTACATACTACTGACCTCTGAACTCTGTATTACATACTACTGACCTCTGAACTCTGCATTACATACTGCTGACCTCTGAACTCTGCATTACATACCACTGACCTCTGAACTCTGTATTACATATTACTGACCTCTGAACTCTGCATTACATACTACTGACCTCTGAACTCTGTATTACATACTACTGACCTCTGAACTCTGCATTGTATACTGCTGACCTCTGAACTCTGCATTACATACCACTGACCTCTGAACTCTGGCATTACATACCTCTGAACTCTGCATTACATACCACTGACCTCTGAACTCTGAATTACATACCACTGACCTCTGAACTCTGCATTACATACCACTGACCTCTGATGTCTGCATCACAACCACTGACCTCTGAACTCTGCATCACATACCACTGACCTCTGAACTCTGCATTACATATCACTGACCTCTGAACTCTGTATTACATACTGACTGAACTCTGCCTTACTTACCACTGACCTCTGAACTCTGCCTTACATACTACTGACCTCTGAACTCTGTATTATGTACCCCTGACCCCTGAACTCTGCATTACATACCAATGACCCCTGAACTCTGCATTACATACCACTGACCTCTGAACTCTGCATTACATACCACTAACCTCTGAACTCTGTATTACATACCCTGACCCCTGAACTCTGCATTACATACCAATGACCCCTGAACTCTGCCTTACATACCACTGACCCCTGAACTCTGCATTACATACCACTGACCTCTGAACTCTGCATTACATACCACTGACCTCTGAACTCTGCATTACATACCACTGACCTCTGAACTCTGCCTTACATACCACTGACCCCTGAACTCTGCATTACATACCACTGACCTCTGAACTCTGATTACATACCACTGACCTCTGAACTCTGTATTACATATGTACCCCTGACCTCTGAACTCTGAACTCTGCATTACATACCACTGACCCCTGAACTCTGCCTTACATACCACTGACCCCTGAACTCTGCATTACATACCACTGACCTCTGAACTCTGCATTACATACCACTGACCTCTGAACTCTGCCTTACATACCACTGACCTCTGAACTCTGCCTTACATACCACTGACCTCTGAACTCTGCATTACATACCACTGACCTCTGAACTCTGCATTACATACTACTGACCTCTGAACTCTGTATTACATACTACTGACCTCTGAACTCTGCATTACATACTGCTGACCTCTGAACTCTGCATT